AATGTGTTTTGTGACTTTGGGCAGCTCGTTGATTCTTTCCAACCTTCAAAAACTCATTTGGAGGAAGCTGAACCAAGTGATTTCTAAGACCTTCCTAGTTTTTAATTCAGCATCTTCTTAGCCCAGTCCCAGGACTCTGGCAATCATATCACTAAATGCTTCTCAAGGGCTTATGTGTTCCATCACTGTACAATTAGCTGGGGAGATGCAGATGAATGAGGAGCTCAAAGAGCTTGCATTGTGTGATAGAAATCATTATTATCCCTATTTAACAGAGAGCAGAGAAAAGTTAAATACCTTCCCCAAAGCCACAGAGCTAGTCAAGTGACAAAGCCTCAATTCCAACCCAGGTCTATCTGATTTGAAAGCCTAGAGCCCCTTTGGGCCCTACCGAGGACGCTCAGAGGGGAGCATCCTGACCACAGCCACCAGGTCCAGCAGCGTCCTTTCCCCCACGGCATGTTGCCTCCAAACTTGAAGATTCCTCTGCCTCTATTGATAGGGTTACCAGATTTAGCAAATAAAAATACTGGACACCAGTGACATTTAAATTTCAGATAAGCAATTCAACATTTTTTTAGCGTAAGTGTGTTCCATGTAATACATAGGTCACACTTAATTCTAAACATTTCTTTTTAATTATTGCCTGTCTGAAATTCAAATTTAACTGGGCATCCCATATTTTATCTGGCAATACTATCTGCTGAAATCTTCTCTTCTCTTCTAAATCATATGAAGAAGTCAAGATAGAGGAGGGCTGCAAGGAGGGGGTCCAGGCAAGTTACTACTCCTACTCCTTACTGGCAGGCATTCTTATATCTGAATCAGTTGGCAGATACAGAGCAGAATGTGGGCTGCTTGTTCCATGTTGTGCCAAGTCAGCCGTGGGAGCTCTGCCCACTACTCTTTTAGAGAAGCCATTTCCACTCCTGCTAAAGGAGAACCAGTTGACTAGAGATGTGGACACAGCCTTTCCTCTGAATTCATTCCAGCTCTCCCCATTCCCCAGCCTGGTCTGCAGGTCAAGAGCCTGGACCTTCCCAGCCACTACTGACCTCTTCCAGGAGGACCAGGCAGAGGGTAAGGAGCTACCCCTTGGCTCCCTGGTTCCCTGGCCCCCACAATGCCAAGGGATGGGACAAAGAGGACGCTTCATCATGAGACCCAGACAAAGCTCAATCTCAGCATAGCTACTTTCTGGCTCTGTGAGCTTGGGCAGTTGATTTAAACCCTTGAACTCCAACTTCCTCTAAAATGGGACGAGAAGAGGTCAGACTATTAGAAGGAACAAATGAGTGCATTACTTGAGAGCTCTATATAAACATAAGCTATTTTTTAACGTCATATCCATAAGGGAACTTTTTTTCATGTTTTGTGGTTAAAGTATCTGAGACATAGAACATTTTATTATGGAAGCAAAATATAAGGACTTTTAAAAAGCTTTTTATAGTTGCCCTTGTATCTCAGCAGTATCTCTTTATGGTTGACCTTTGATCTTTACTGCAGTATATTGAGAAATTTTTTGAAAATCTAAAAATCCCTTAGCACCACTGGGGAACTTAACTTACCCTAGAAATTGCATATGCAGGATTGAGAAATTCACTCTATGCTGCCTGATGCACTAAGATTCAAATCTGTGAGTTGGCAACATTCCAAATTATAACTCACCACGGACCCTTTTAATCTTTGTAAGAACTGGCAAAGTTAATGTTTTCTGCCAGTGCCAAGAGTAACACTATTTTCAGTCATTTTTTATGTATGTCCTTCCAAGCTCTGCATGTGTGTGTTTCAGAGAGTTATAATTATGATATCTGTGTAATTTTGTATCCTGCTTTTTCCACTTTAAATAATCTCTTACAAATTTTTCCAGGTGATTGCAAAGTCTTAAAACCACCAATTTTAATTACTGCCTAGCTATTCATCATGTTACTGTACTATCATTTATCATTTCTTCTTTCTGGATGTTTGATGCTTCTAAGTGGCTTTTGATGGTCACTTTGAAGGTAGCATGTGGAAGGGTGGGCACCATGTATGCACCACTTTCACCCTTTAGGTCCCCCCCACTGACACACACATGCACATACCCCTACCAGTGAAGAATCCTAAACAGTTTCAAGGGTGTCCAATCCAGGGGATTAGGAGAGGGAGAGAGGAGGCCAGGATCCACCATCTTTCTAAACGTAAACCTGTGGTATCTTTGACAAAGTGCTAAATCCACCTCAGATCTTATGTGTACCCAAGATTTGGGGTGAAGGGTTAACAGATATTTCCTGTTCTTTTCTGTCCCTTAAACTACACCCTCCCCCACACCTACTACAGTGATATCAAAGCAGTATGGACCCAGAACAGTGTCCTTAAAAAGAAAAATTGATTCTTGTTGGTATGCAGAAGAGCCACCCATGCAGCACGACTGAGTGCTTAAGACCATAGACTCTGGACCCAACAGCCCAGCTTTGAATCCTGACGCCTGCACTTACGAGTCCAAGGTCTTAAGCAGGCTGCTTCACCTCTCTGAGTCTTGTTGCCTCTTTAAAAATGGGGGAAATAGATGTGTGAGAGAGGTGCTGGGTAGACACCTGTGAAGAATAAAGGGGGAGGGAGTGGGGCCTTCAGACTGTAGTACAAGTCAGACACCTGTGAATGGAGAGCAGGAGGGAGTGAGGACTGAGTAAGAGAGCCCAGGGAGAGTCTCCCCAGCTCCGTCAGGCCTGTGGGAAGTTCCTGCCCCAGCAGAGTCTCAGTTGGGCAGGAATGGTTTCCCCCACCCCCCTCCATGCTCCATCATTAAGCAATCCAGGGAGAGTGTGCAAACTGAAGGCTGTCCACCAATTGCCCTCCGTCAGCAGGTTCCCTTAAGATAGTTCCGAGCCACACACCTCCATGGCTGATACGTCCTCACTGGGTTAAGTAAAGCACTTAGGGCAGTACATGATACATTGGAGGCACTGTGAAAGCTAAAATTGCTACCACTGTTTTATAGCATATATTATAATTCACCAAGCTCTTTCATATATATTTTTCCACTAGATCATCACAATCATCCCCATGCAGCCCATATTTTATCCCCACTTGATAGATGAGAATAAGGTGTCAAGAGGCCCCATGACTTGCCCAAAGTCACACAGCTCGCAGTGATGGAGGTGAGACTTGACTGTAAGCCCCCAAGGGCTGAGGGTCAGAGTGTAGGCCCACTGGTCCTTATCTTTGTATCTTTGTGTGTAGCAGCAGTTCAGATGGAGATGAAGATAACAAAAACTTTGTCCTCTAGGAATATATATTTTTGGTGAGTTAGACAAAAAAGTAGATAATTCCAGGAAACTCTAACACATGGAATTACCTCCCATTTCCCAAATACACCAGGTATTTCCTCCTCTTGCCTCCAGCCCTCAACCTTTCTTTGTGCTGACTTCTCAGCCTTGAGGCTCACCTGCTGAAATCTGCCTATCTCTTCCTACCTGACCATTTTCTCCATGACACAATCCCAATCTGCCCCCCAGGGGGAATTTCTTCACTCATCACTGTCCCTCCATGTGCCACACTTTGTTCCAAAACAGTGCCACTCTGCCCTGCAGTAGAATGTGTTTGTTTACTCAGCAGCCACCTGTCAAGCACCTACAAGGCAACAACCATTTCTTGCTCCTCTACAAATCCCCCACTGGGTCCAGTGTCAGCAATAGTAGATGAGAAATAAATGTGTCATGCATGAATGAGTCCACTGACTCTGTGTAGGGGTGGGAGGAATGGAAGATGTGGCAAGTCGGCCAGCAGGAGTGGTCATTCACACCAACGCAGACACAGATAACCCAATAGCATATGACTGCTGTGATGGAAAGAGCTGCAGAAGGTCAGTTGGAGGGTCCCTGAACACAGGCTAGGTGTTAAGGTGAGCATCTCTCATGAATTGAAATTCCTGGTTGTTTCATTCTATGCTTGTATCCCCAGGGCCCAGTACAATGTGAGGCACATGGTAGGTATTCAGTAAGATTTCAAGGAGGGAGGGAGAGAAGTAAAGAAGAGAAGAAGGGAGAGGAAGAGAGAGGAATGGAAAGGAAAGGAGGGTGGGTTGGTTTTCTAACATGAGTCCAGACCAGGGACTCTGGATGCGACCCAATACTTCAATGCAGATGCTGCCTGAAGTCAGCTACAGTGGTTTTCAACCAGTGACAGTTTTGTCCCTAAGAAGACCTTTGGCAATGTCTCAAAACATTCATTTTTTCTTTTTTGTTTTTGTGTTTGTTTGTTTGTTTGTTTGTTTGTTTGAGACAGGGTCTCAATGTGTTGCCCCAGCTAGAGTGCAGTGGCGCGATCATGGCTCACTGCAGCCTTGACCTCCCAAGGTCAAGTGACCCTCCCACCTCAGCCTCCTGAGCAGCTGGGACCAAAGGCACACACCACCATGCCCAGCTAACTTTTAAAAATTTTTTGTAGAGATGGGGTCTCACTGTGTTGGCCAGGAAAGCCTCAAACTCCTAGGCTCAAGCAATCCTTCCACCTTGGCCTCCCAAAGTGCTGAGATTACAGGCGTGAGCCACCACATCAGGCCTTGAAGTCATTTTTGATGGCCACAACTGCGAGTGTTACTGGCATCTAGTGGCTAGAGGCCAGAGATGCTGATAAATATCCTACAGTGTGCACATCAGGCCTCACGTTAAAGAATTATCCCAGCCAAAATGTCAGTAATGCCACTGTTGAGAAATCCTGAAAAAACCCTAAAGCCTGTAGACGGAGGTTGAAAGACTGTGTCTGAGAGAGGCTTGCCTGGTTCAAAGCATCCATGGTTTCCAAATGAGGATCATCTGAGGGTCCAACCTCAATCACTGGCTTAGCCTCCAGACCCTTTCAGAAATGACACCTTGGGGGGTGAAGATCCAGTCAGCTTCCTACTCCTCCCTCTCCTCCCACCTTCTGGTTCTTCCCAATAATCCTGGATACTTGTTGGAAAAAAAAAAAAAACAGGAACACTGGGAGTAGGCTTAGTCAATGGGTGCTGTCTGTTCCAGGAGCTGCTCAGAGACCCTCTGTACATCGGCCTGAAACACCAGCGTGTGCGCGGGAAGGCGTACGATGACTTGCTGGACGAGTTCATGCAGGCTGTGACAGACAAGTAAGTGGACCAGTCTGTCCCTTTTGAAAGAGGACTTTTAAGAGATGCCATGACTAAAGCCAACACTGGTTTTGGCCGATACACAAAGCAAAGGCAGTAGATGCATGCTTTCCCAGGTATTCTGAAAATTCTAACTTGACCCCTTGGAGTGATAAGACTGGATGCCAAATGGGCTCATTCTCTGAGAGAATCTCTGGGAGCAGAGAGGGGAGGGAATGAGAGAGTTGATGGCTGAAGGTTGTGATCTGGAGGTAGTTAAGTATCGTTTTCCCAGGAGAAAAAACCCCTTAGCCTGAGCTGTTTAGGGTTCTCAGCACAAGTAGGGTTGTTGCAAGTGATGGAGGAAAGATGTGTACCCTTCTGATGAAATGGTTTTGGAAGACAGCTTGTCACATTTGGTTATTTTCCACCTCTATGTGAGAACAAGGAAGTGTTAATGAGGCACTGTGGCAGACCACATGGGCTCTGGGCCTGCAAGATTTATGAGGTGTCATGTCTTCACTGGGGAAGCTTCACAATGCTGGCAGCTTCCACCCCGCTTGCCTGCCCCATCTGTCTGCCATCGTGGCCACCCGCTCACACTGCTGTGGCTGACGTGCCACTGGAATGGAGGCCTGATGACAGCCCTCATGCACCCATGTTTACTCTGAGAGAAAAGCTGATCAGGCCAGAGTTTCAGCAGCTCAGTGGGCCTCTGAAGACAAAGCAGGTTCCCTTCTCACTTGCAAAGCTCCAGCCTTCTTGCTGCCCCAAGATTGCACAGGTTTGGCAGAGATGACCTGCCCATCCTTGGCGAAGTGCTCCCTTGCCCAAGCTCAGCCTCTCCAACCAGAGCAGCGGGCTGGAGCCCACAAACTGCACAAAGTCTCATCTGGGTGGCCTTCAGGGGTGGGCAAACTGTAATTTGACCTCTGACCCTTCCACTTTTCAGATATGTGACCTTGGGCAGGTTACTAAACTTTTCTGAGTCTCTTTATCTACTTTCCTTATCTGGAGATAAGAAAAGAGTTTTGTTGGTGTTGTGTTTTGTTTTTTAAGATGAGAGCAAAATAATATTGTGGTTATATAAGGTGGAAATGATCCCGTCGAAAGAGGAAATGAATGGTGGACTGTAGGATGGGGGGCAAAAGTCCTTAAGTAAGCAAGCAGGAAAAAGGATCCAGTGCACACCTGAAGAGCTTAGTCTGGGAGCACAGAAAATCATCCACAGGGAGAAAGGGAAGGCAGAGTACTGGTCACTGATGGGGCAGGTGGGTAGATGCGTGGTGGGAGTGAGGGAGGAGTCCCATCTGCTTGAAGACAAGGTCATTGGCATAGAGTGAGGATGGGGAGGTTTAAGGATAGAGGAAGTGGGACCTAGTTATCTATGAGACTGGGAGAATGTCCGGACTGGGAAGCTGGATCTTGATCACCAGGCAGCTCTCTGGGCCCCCTTGGGGTTACTGTTTATGAATTTAACTTAAGCTAGTTAACCTGTTTCTGTGTTTTCTGAAGCCAAGTTCAACTGTCTTGGTCCAAGGGCAGGAAGACAAAGAGAGCAGGGTGTAATCAGGGTTGGGGATTTTGCCAGGCAAGAGAAAATGGGAAAGAGCAAGGAGTTGAGAGGGAATGGTTATAATTGTGTCATGAGCTCCAGGCTGGGTAAAAGGGGAGAGAATGGGAAGATGTGGTAGAGGGGAGGGACAAGGGACAGTGAAAGGGTGAGCAATGGATAGTAAGTCCTGGTGAGGTTTAGAAACTGTTGAATTGGATGATAGATGGAATAAGCTGGAAAGAAAGGAAGTGGTGATCAGAAAGTTAGACGTTTGCAGCTAAGATTATGGAGGAAGGGCTGCTATTGGGATGTGGCCACTAAATAAAGCAAATTCAAGGGTCAGCTGCATTAATAGAGGCATAGCATCTAGGACAAGGGAGACGAATGTCGCACTTCATTCTCTCCCTTTCAGAAATCCTGAATACCACATCCAGTGCTAGAGAAGCTACACTGAGGCTTAAAAATTACCTAAAATGCCTCTGGAGCGTGCAATAACCATGATAGTGAAGAGAACCAAAAGCTGAGCCTGGTAGAGAGAAGACTCAGAGACTGCTCTGTCTATATCAGGGACGTGCTAGCACCTCCAGATTCTAAAAGCTCTTCTTTCAGAAGAGAATTGGACTTGTTTGTATATATTTACTTGGAGAAGAACCAATTGGTGGAATGCTAAAGGAAGCAGTTTTCAGCTCAAAATAAATCAGAGCTGTCTCACATTGCACTGGACCGTCTGTGGGAATGAGTTCCCTGTCACAGAAGAGTTCAAGGATAGGTTGCATGGCTTATTTGTGGTGATATTGTAGGAAGGAATTCAAGCATCAGATGTTCTTTAAACTGCCTTCCCACCCCAGTATTCTATTCTAACCTCTTAAAAAATCCTCTGTAGCCAGCCAGATAGGTATTATTATTCCCATTTTATGCAAGAGAAAACTGAGACTCAGAGAGGCCAAGTTAGCTATCTCAGGTCTCACAGTACCTGTCGGGACTACAAGCTGAACCCAGGACTACTGACTCCAAGTACAGACTCTTTCTACAATGCTGTGTCACCTGTGGATGAAAAGAGAAGGGAATGAAATTGGCTTTGAAAGCCCACTTTTTGCTTCCTGTTTCCAGAGTTCACTGCTTATCTAATGAGTCAGTAATCATTCTGTGATTCCCCAAAGAAAAGTTTTGCTATTCGTGTGAGAAGGTTAAATAAACTAGGATGTAAGAAGCTGTGCAAATTATCATCAAAATCAGTTCACAGTTTTACAGACACACACAGGCAGTCTGGGGCGGGGAGGGGGGATCCTTGGGGAGGGACATGCGTCAGCCAACAGGAATGTGTCCTTAAACAGAAAAGATGATGGATTGATGGTTGGTTGTTTTGACTTTCTAATAAGCTATAGCAGATGTTTCTGTGGATACTGTAGGTGAGGAATGAGCTGGTCTCCCCAAGCACTCTTGGGAATACAGTAGCTCCAGGACAGAATGCCCGGCCTGGGGATGAGTCAGGAGTTCCAAAGTCAAACACAACGTATTTTAAGAAAGAACCTTGGGAAATGTTGACTCCTGCTTTCAACATCCTCATCTCTGTCCAAACTTCCTGCTAATAAAAAGCTCCACCTTCCTACCCCTACCCACTAATGGGGTGTATGTTAAGATTTTTTGGGCTGAAATAAACTTACTATGGCTCAGTTCCTGTCATGGAGCTTGGCCACTGAGAAGAACCTTCCAGGACAGAAGGAATCTCAATTTAAGTCTGTGAACCACAACAACAGACAGCTGGGAGTGTCCTTCTCAAAGCAGAGACAAAGACTGATGGCAAGGACTGACTGCCCCACTCTTCCTGCCATGCAGTGGATGGGTGCATTGTACCCAAGCACCACCTCCTGCTGCCACAAGTTTTCCCTGACAGCTTCCATTCACATTTTTCATTTCTGTTACTTACAGTAGAATGGATGGGAATTGACTGTATTTTAAGTTTGCACCTGGAGCCCTAGTTCTGTCTGATAAATGTCCTGGGCTGGACAGAAGCTTGATGTCATCAGCAGCTTTGGCCTTTAGGCAGACCAGGAAAGGAAACCACCTGCTCCTTCCCTAGTTCCCAAACCCTAAATACAGGGATTCTTAAGCTGCTTAGATCAGAGTGTTAAAGAAGGGAAATAATAAAAAAGCTTACTTTTTAAAAAGTCATCTACTTTTTAGCTCTAGGAAAAATTCTTTTTTTTTTTTTTTAGTCTCTCCATTTTTTAATCTCCGTGCATTCATTCATTCTCTCTCCCTCTTTCTCTCCTCTCACCATAATCACACACACACACAGCTGCTTTCAGCTGGCTAACTAGCTGGGAGCGGGCTCAGCTGGGACACTGGAAAAGTTGGGCTCCTCTGTCTTTCCATTGAGTCTTAGGGTCTCTCTTTCACATGGCCTCTTCTCTTTACAGGATAGCTGAACTTTTTATGTGACAGTCTAGGGTTCCTAAGAACACAAGAGTGGAAGCTGCCAGGCCTTCTTAAGGATGAGACCTGGAACTGGCACAGTCTAACTTCCACCACATTATACTGGTTGAAGAAAATCATAGGTCCATACTAGATTCCAAGGGAGGAGGTTATACAAGGAAATAAATACTAGGAGGCATGGTGCATGGGGGGCCACCAGTGTCAGAGACTGCCACGCCCCATCTAGACTGGGGGGGTTAAGGAATGGGGCAGCCCTCACTATAGGAGGGTATGAGAAAAGAATAACTCAGTTATGCAGATAAGCAGGGGAATGGTGTATAAAATCAATAAGCATATCTACCTAGTACCTGCTGTATACCAGACACTGAGCCAGGCATAGTGAGCAATACACACAGAAATAAGCAGTCCTCCTCTCAAAGAGCTAAATAGTCAAAAATATTTCGTATGTATCTATTGAAGTTTAGAGAACCTGAGACTCTACACTTTCTTAACCTCTAAGTGTCCATGTAAGTCTGGAGTTCAAGAAGAGTTCTGGGGCAGAAACATAAAGTTGGGAGTTGCCAACCCATAGATAGTATTAATATCAAGGGAATGATCGAGTTTCCCCAAAGAGAAGAGAAAAGAATATGACTCACCATGGTTTTCTGAACTGTGTCCTATGGATAATTGCAAGTCAAAGTGCCCAACAAATTTTAGGACTAGACTAGGATATTGTTGGTAAGAATGGCAAGGAGGGTAAAAGGTTTCATTCCTTGTGCCAGCTCTGATTGCTTAGGACTCTGAACCTCTCTGGGTTCAACAGGGATGAGTGTCATGGTTGATTAGCAATGTCTGCCCTGAGCAGGGAATAAGGGGTGGCAGCACTGTGCTATCCTTTACCCTCCTTGGAGCTGTGAGGAGCCTTGTGACCTAAGTATCTGTGACTCTGTGAACACTCATGCCGGCTGGTCCTGCGACTCCCACAGCTAAATAGCAACTCCAAGGCTAAAGGAGCCTCTGGGTTATTTTTCTCCAGGTGTTCAGGATATTT